AACAGCTGACTCTACCTCACCCCCCAGCCAGCAGCTCCGCCCTCTAACCTGATGACTCCCTCCTCTGCCCCTCAGCTCCCCTGCAGCCTCCTCACCCTGGTAAAGACGAGGGCAGAAGAAAACTGGACGCTGTCCTTGGGGAGCACCATCAGGCCTCCGTCAGGCTCCGAGGAGAGTAGGAGGCTCCAGTTGACACTCAGGGCGCTGTGGGGAGTGTTGGTGGCCACCAGCAGCACTGCCGGAGGCCCCAAGGTGCTCCACACATAGTGCAGCGTGGAGTTGGTGCCCACTGCCCGGATGTGCAGCAGGTTCTCGGGGGGGCCCGCCCAGTCGGAGATGACCTCCAGAGACACCTGGAACGGATCGGGACAGACACAGGGCAAGGGGGAAGTTCGGGGGAGGGGCGGGGGATTTGGAGGATGCTGGGACAGGGTGGGGGTCTAGATGAGAGAAATTCACGCAGGCGCTAAGGGAGTCTGGTGGAGGGCAGAGGTGGGGTGGAGGGGGCGAAGAGATCGGGGCACAGAGCGGACAGGGAGAGCCAACACGGCCCGGGCATGGGCAGAGTCGGGGGCCGCACCTCAGCAGGACACAGGAGGCCCCACACCCGCACTGCCCGCAGCCCGCACAACCCCGTCCCGGGACCCGTGGCTGTCCCCAGCCCGGGTGGAAGGTCTTCCCTGTGCAGGCCCCCCTCCCCTGCCCTTGGTGGCCCAATTCCAGCCACCCTTCAGGGCGGCGTTTCCTGAGACCGCTGCCACTCAGGCCACTCACCTGGCGGGTCTCCTCCCCCAACAGGGCGAACGGGGCTGCCCACAGAAGACTCAGGAGCAGCAAGGGGCCGGGGGCGCAGCGCCCCCAGCCCCAGCAAGAACCCTCCCAGCTGCCCATGCAGCCTCGCGACAGAGCGAGGAAGAGACACGGGTGTCACGTGACCCACAGGCTCAGCTGATCTCTTTAAAGGGCGGGGCCCTCGCCAGTCCTTAAAGAGGCCGCCTCCCTTAACCTAGATTCAGGCCCTGGTGACGCCCGAATGGGAAAGGTGAGAAGGCCTCAGCCCACTGGGCTGGCGAGGAGACAGCCCAGACCCGGCAGATACGCAGGCACCCTGCCACCCCGCCACCCCGGCCCCACCGGTCACGCTGAACAGCTGGTACCTGTCAGTGGGCACGATTCTGGATCCAAGATCCAAATGGCACCCCAGTGAAATGACTGGCAGGGAGGAATCCGGGGGCAGGGGGCAAATAACACACTCTAGAAGGTTCTTTTTGTCTGTTATTGAGCCCCCAGGTAGAGCTGAAAAGATACCTCAGAAGACAGGACATAAGAGCAAAACGTGCTTTTTGTCGAGCTCAGGTCCGGCTGAAGGAACAGTGTTCTCGGGCTTTTTGCTTCATCTTACAGTTATCTTCACTGAGGAGAAACGCACGAAACTCCCAAGGCGCCACAGGTCTCGCCTTGCTCCACGCAACCTGGTTCCTTCCTGGGGAACACCGGCCCCGCGCGCGTGCCCGACACCACCCAGGCACCGCGGTGCGCACAGCGCTCTGGCCGTGGGAGTCCTTCGCTGCAGGGGTGTCCCGTTCGCGTACGCAGCCTGAACCTCGGGAGCCTTGACACCTGACCACGACAAACCATGCTAGAAGGAGCACCCCGGCCCTGCAGCATTTCACGCCTGTATCCAAACCTCAAGGACAGACACTCTCCGGCAGGGGTGCTGCCAGGCCAAGCGGCCCGCTGAGGCTCATCGGTTGTCACTCGGACCTTGGGTTTGAAGACCCATCCCCCACGCCTTTGCCAGCGTTTGCCAAACGTGACTGACATTTCCCCTGAATGAGGGTTAAGCATCTCTCCATGTTTTGCAGTCATTTATTTTTGCTTCTCTGGAGCTATTTATACGCTTTGTCTATTTTTCGATGGGCCCCATCTTCTTGACTGCCAAGTTCTAAATGTTCTTTCGAGAAATTAACTATTGTTGCAACATTCCCCCGTTTGTGTCCTTTTCGCCACGCACATTTTTAATGTAGTTGCATTTATCTCCCCCGATATATTTTTAAAATGCTTTCTCGTACTCTTAAGGTTTCCCTCTCTACTTAAACCTTTCTGCTTCCCAGAATGAGTTTTGATGTAATGAATACAACAGACATCCAATTTCATTTTCTTCCCCAAGTGGCTACTCTAAGGATGAACTCATGTTTTCTCAAACACTTTCATTTTTCTAGAGGAAAAAAGTAGCACTTGCATCCTCTCAGGACCCGATGAGTGGGAATAAAAACAAGTCTCGGCTGAGAACAGAGGTTTGAGCAGCCAGCAAGTCACGCCTCTCATCACCCAAAAGATGCTGCTTTACGGGGGGGAAACAGAATTTGGCTGAAATCTAGTTTAACAGTAGGAAGAACTGTGAGCAGAGCTGAGAACGTGGCAAAACGGCATTCGTGGAACCTGAGCAGTGATCGGGGCTCGCGCCAGGCAGGAAGCAGCCTGAGCGGCTTTTACTTGCTATGTCAAATTCCGGCTTTGGAAGCTAGACTACGGAGCGCACGCTGACCTCACACACTGGAGGGACTGTCACAGGCTGAGACACAGAGGCGCCCACAGGGAGGGCTACTAGGAAGGACCTAAAAGTGACAGGACACAGGGTGAAAAACGCGTCCTGCGTGCTTTAGGACAAACGCCTGAGCCCCAGCTCACACTGGGTGGTGCTCTGCATACAGCCACAGGTGGGGACACCTGGCTTGGACAGGTTCCTCCTGCTGTGTGTGGTGCATGCAAAGCAGCACTGCTCTAAGCCCGGCAGTGCCAGTATCTCCCAAGAAAGCAAAAGCAGACACTTAATGACCTCATTCCCATCTCCTCCCTCCTCAGGAAGGTGCTTTGCCTCCTCCCTGTGTGCCAGGAGGCAGAGATGTGACCTAAGGTTGAAAAACACATAACAACAGTCTCAAATGGCTTAGATTTAATCATCGGAAGCAAACTAAATGGAAAGCTTACAATGGAGAAGAATTACATGTCAGTGCCTTTTGCAAACCGAGCCGGGGCTAGGACTGCCCCTCAACCTGACCCTTTCCGAACAAAGACACCCAGTGTCCCTGGCAGCCCGACTCAGGGAAGGGGGAGGCTGTTGGCTCTGTGCGCCGAGGTCGTCAGGCCCAGCGCTCACTCCTGGCCAGCATCGGGGGCCCCGCCTTGCCGGCCCTGGTCGTCGCCCTTCTTTTTGTGGCCCGAGACGATGTCGTCGATCCGCAACAGCAGCACCGCAGTCTGGGAGGGAAGCGGAGCCACAGGTCAGCGCGGAGGGGGGGCCGCCTGCTCTCGGACACCGCCCAGCTCCTCCCAGGCGCCATCCTGCCTTAAAGCTGCCTTTGCAGGACTGAATGCCAAATGCAGTTCCCCCTAAGCAAGGAGTGCAGCTCGTGCTGTTCCCTGCTTCACACGAGCAAAGACGGGCGGGGGAGGGGATTCCTCGGGAGACCTTTCGGGGTGCTCTGCCGTCTTTACCCACTGCCTGAGATGGGACCACGCTCACAGGTTTCTGGGTATCTGGGAATTAACGCGGCGTGTCTTTGGGTGCCTCACCTCCACCGCGGTCTTGTATGTTTGCAGCTTCACGGCCAAGGGCTCCCAGATGCCCAGTTCCTTCATGTCCACCAAAGTGCCCGTCTCGCCGTTTACACCCCAGGTCTCGCAGCCCTCCTGCGTGTGCTGGGCCTGCAGTTGGGACAAGCGAAAGCAGTTCTAGTGGGGACCACGGGAACAAGTACACTGGCCGGGGGCATCAGGGGAAGAACTAAACCCAGGAGACTGGATTGGTGAGAAAAGCACGAGAGACGATGACGCCGCCACCACGTGAGTCAAAACTCAGAAGAGGTGCCAAGAGAACGAAGGTGAGCCGTGCCCTCGGGCAGGGCCCCACCCAGGGGCCCGGGGCCGGAGAGGGGACTCACCCGGAGAGAGGTGAGCAGACGGATGGTGCTGGCCCCGCAGTTCTGGATCAGGGTACGGGGGATGACCTCCAGTGCCTGGGCAACAGCCCTGTACGGCCACTGCTCCACACCGGTCATGGCCTTGGACTTCTCCGTCAAGGCGTGGGCCACGGCCATCTCACAGGCCCCGCCCCCTGGCACCAGCTGGGGGTCCAGCAGCACGTTGCGGCACACCTGCATGGCGTCCTGGAGGTTGCGCTCCACTTCCTTGAGAAAGCAAACAGGACAAAGCCAAAGCTGATGACTCAGGAACAGGTCAGAGGCACCAAAGGCCTTCCCGACTGCCAAGTTCAGTAGACCAACAAGGAGGGCAGCTGAGAAAGGTCCTTGGAATCGCTACCGGGCGAGGCAGACCAACGCACTGACCACAATGCAGAAGGCTGGGGTGCGGGTGGGGCGTCTCTCTGTGAAGTTAGCTCACGTGCCCTTGGGAAACTAACTACGCAACTGAGAAAAAAGATGTAATTTTGACTTAAAAAAAATGAGAAAAGCAACTGTTGCCAGGGGCTAGGCAACCACGGGCCACTGTTCAGTGGACAGAGTGTCTCAGTTTTACGAGATGAGAGAGTTCTGGGGACCTGCTGTCCAGGTGTGAACACGCCGGGAAGGCAGGTGGCAGAGACGTGTGGCTGCACACTGGCACATCCGCACGCACGCAGCAGGGCGACTCCGGGTGCCCCGGGGAACTCGAGAAACGGAGCGGCCACCTCAGCCAGCCGCACGCCACGGCTGACTCACCGAGAGAATCTCCTTGCTGGCACCCCGGAGCAGAATGGTGCAGGCCTTGGGGTCTCTGCAGTCCGTGATGAACGTGAAGTACTCATCTCCAATTTTCTTGATTTCCAACAGGCCCGCTCCCGTCCCAACGTCGTCCTCTCTCAGCTCCTCTGGGCGGCTGACTATCCGGGCCCCACAGGCTCTAGTGAAAGGAGGGGCCTGTTGATCTCAGATGCTTTTACTCATCTCTAGTCCCCAGGGTCTGTGGCTGGCAACAGGGTGGTCCCAGAAACCTTACTACATAACTCAAGAGGTCTTGGCTACCACGCGAAATATATTTTCACGTGAAATTTCTTTAACGTGGCTTTGTAAGTAGAAGTGTTCACACACCTCAGACAACCACTATAACCAGGTACGGTATGATGCAGAGTATAGTTTGTGGACAGAGCCCTTATGCGAATCTGACGTGTACATACCACACGACGGCTGATTCTAGACAGAAAAAAGCAGAAGACCCAACTTGGACCTACGGTACAGCATGGGACGCCGGGGCAGACTTACCTCCTTTCTCACGCATTTGCATTTAAAGCGACTGGAGCCTGAGCACAGGCGCCAGTGCGGGAGTCTCGAATGGAAGCTAACACTGCATCGACAGCAGCTGAGGAACCAGATCAGGAAAACTGACGGTTCTGCTGTGTTCTGAGCTCGTTCAAGCAATTCTGCGAGGGGCCCCACCAAGCGAGTGGTCACCACCGGCTGGGAGCACGGCACAAGAGGCTCACACAGCAGCCGATGGCTGAACTAGATAAGACTTCTGGGGATGGCAGACAGCGAAGCCCGGCTATTTCCACCTGTAACTGATCTGGCCGACCGTATCCTGTATCGTCACCTTTTCAGGCAGCAATGACCGCATTATGAAGGGACGAAGTGGAAACACAGGAGAAGGAAGAACCTTTTCACCTGGCTCACTCACCTAGCAATGCGATTGTTGTCTGTCTTCCGGACTCTGCGGATGGCCGTGATGTTGGCCCGCATGAGGTAGTGCTGAGCTAAATCTGCGAACCCAAGAGCAGAGGTGTCGGGCTCAAAACCAGAACTCCTGAGTTCTGGACTGGTTTTATCCAAAGTCCTCAATGCACCCCGACCATCACGTTTACTCCATTCGGTCCATGCCAACATAGGGGAACCCCACCCTGTCTTCTGCCTTGAGAGCGGGCTGGAAACACGAGCGAGTCCTACCTGAGATGCCCTTTTCTGTGATGACCACGTCGGGCTTCAGACGGATGATGTCCTCGCAGAGCTGCTGAATGTACTCTTCTTCCATCTGGAGGATTCGGGTGAAGTCTTCCTCTCGTGTGATCTCAATGTCAGTCTGCGTGAAGAAAAGTCACCCCACCTGAAAAA